ACCTGCTGACCATCCGGAGTATAAAACTTTCTGACGATGGAAAGGAGGGGCACTCATGCTGAACCCTCACTCTTCAAAAAGGGGGATCATCATTTGAGGGTATCCAGAAGGCAATGCCTTTGACTCTAGGTAAGACAGTGTTGATACACTCAACTCTGTGGGAGTAGGTTGCCTGGTCTGTTGTAGGGGGAGCTCCCCAACCAGATGTGAATGTCCTGCAACATCTAGATCATGTTTCTTAACCTTTTTGGAGGTACTGAACCCCACCACTTTCATATGCGCATTCACCGAACCCTTCTTAATTGGAAAAATAAAATATGATTTTTAAAATTCAAAACATAGGTATATATTTATACATAGGTGCACAAAATGAACAAAACCATTAAGAACAAAGAACAAAACCATTAAAACATGATTTTCACACAAAAACAAAATAATGAATATTTACCACAAATCAGTGTGACTTCTGCTGTTGTCTTTCAGAGGCCAGTTCAGAAATGCGCGGCATTACCTTGGCAAGTGCCACTCTCATGTCATTTTCGCAACAAAGTCTGTTCCTTTTCTTCGTCTTTATGTCCAGCATCCTCGAAAAGGATTGCTCGCAAAGATATGTTGTAACAAACGGTATGAAAATTCATCCCCCATAGTAATTCATCCCCCATATAGTAATTCATCCCCCATATAGTAATTCATCCCCCATATAGTAATTCATCCCCCCATATAGTAATTCATCCCCATATAGTAATTCATTCCCCCATATAGTAATTCATCCCTCATAGTAATTCATCCCCCATATAGTAATTCATCCCCCATAGTAATTTCATCCCCCATATAGTAATTCATCCCCCATAGTAATACATCCCCCATATAGTAATTCATCCCCCATATAGTAATTCATCCCCCATATAGTAATACATCCCCCATATAGTAATTCATCCCCCATATAATAATTCATCCCCCATATAGTAATACATCCCCCATATAGTAATTCATCCCCCATATAATAATTCATCCCCCATATAGTAATTCATCCCCCATATAGTAATTCATCCCCCCTATAGTAATTCATTCCCCATATTAATTCATCCCCCATATTAAGTCCCCCCTGTGTCAATTCACTTACCTTTTGCTCCGCGCGTTCCTCTCGCTGTATTCCCGCGCCGTTCCGGTCTTCAGGGCGGACTGTGAGAGGAGAGGAGTTCGTCACGCTGCCCCGCCTACATCCTGACAGCCAATGTTTGCCACGCTCCACGGGCCGGATTAAAAGGTCCGCCAGGCCGTAGTTTGCCCATTGCTGGGCTAGCTGCAGAGTCCTGACTTTTGGGGCGGCCGCCCGAGAGGAGGGAGGGGACCGGGCACCCGGCACACAGAAGAGCCGCATTGAAGTGTGTAAAGAGCCGCATGTGGCTCGCGAGCCACGGCTTGCCGACCACTGACCTAGGGCAATTGGAAGCAGAAGTTGTCCCCCCCTCCCTCCCTGTAGTCTTCTGGGACACTTGACAGGTCTCAGAAGACCTGGCTATCAGGATGTGAGTGGCAGCGAGACTGGCCAATCATTGCATTTGAGTCCCTGCCGCCCGAGAGGAGGGAGGGGAGCGGGCGCCCGGCACACAAGAGCCGCGGCTTGCCGACCACTGGGCTAAGCGATGTTGCGTGACCACCTGCAGCCAATGATGGACAGGCGGGGCATGTCATCACAAATCATATGAGTCGGGTGTGGGTCACCTCCGCCGAACCCCCGAGACTGACTCACCGAACCCCTGGGGTTTGATCGAACCCAGGTTAAGAACCACTGATCTAGATGATGTCCAGTGGACATCAAAGCATCCTACAGAAGGATCCCCCAATGACTCAGGAACTGTCTATTTGGAAGAACCAGATTTAAGTGGCAGGCATGAGGCTATATCTATAAGGGGAGCCCTCCCAGGAAGACAGAAGGGAGTATCCCTTCTTTGTCCAGCTGGGTGCCTTGCCCAGACTAAGTCAGAGGGAGAGGTAAAAAGGGACTGAGAGACTTACATGAGAATGACCATGGTAAATTAGAATTTCCCAACAATCCCATAAACCCGTAAAGAGGTTAATAGGAAAAACATACTATATATAGGGAATGGGTCAAATGTCCACAAGGATAAGACTTTCTCAGCGAGGACTTAACTTGAAGATGACCTAAGTTTACTTTTGCTGGATTGTAAGAAAATAGTATTTAGACAAGGTTTGCAAATGCCCTTAGCATTACTCAAACTGTGAGAATCTAGGAAACTATCTTCAGGAAGGGACTTGTAAGCATTCTACAATTGGGATGCCATGATAAAACTTAAGGACCAATGCCAGCAACAGGATCCAGAACTCTTAGAGGACACAGGTCCTTGCTAGGCAAGGGAGACATACGGACTGATGCTTGTCAACCTTGTAGGTCAGTATTCCTTCAGGAATGGAAAAGGGCTGAATGAAGTAAAACACCATAAGGTGTGCAACCAACTATAAGGAAGAACAACTCTGAGGGAAGGAGTGCAAGTTAAAAAGACCTACTATCCCTAATGCTGGGCTTCTACTAGAGTAGTAAATAGAGACCCCAGTGTGTGGGGAAACCAAAACAAAAGTGAGAAGGGGCGCAATGGGGTGCAGAAACACCAGAAGGTTGGGATTGAACAGCTGAAAGAAGTGCTGGACTAAAGGGTCTAGAGAGGTTACAAAGGAAAGACTAAACATCCAAACTGTGGTGAGGTAAACTAGTTACTAATGTGAGGTAAACTAATGCTAATGTGGATAGAAAAAATAAATAAAAAGTTGTGACACACTCAATCTCAAAATTTAATCTACGTTAGCGCTACACTTTTTGCAAATATTCATTAGTACTGGGTATAAGAGTACAGAGTTAGCAGCTCTAGAGGTTGTTTATTCCAAGCCCGGAATATATTTTTACACAGGATGAATAAACAGCCCGAAGTAAAAGTAGCAGGAGTGCACCCTGGACTGAGCAGAGGGGTTGGAGGATCTCTGTCTTCAAGACATGTGGCCTGTATGGGAGGTAGGCACTATGTGCCCATGAGGTACTACTGCAGTAGTAGATCAAGGTTGTTGTTCTATCATTCCATCCACAGATCCCCTTTGTTTTGACCAACAAAGGCATTGTTAATGACAGTGTAAATGGCAGGTCCAAAGGGAAGACTTCTCATAAATGGCAAGTAAATCAGATATTGCTTGAGTGTATCCTCAGTGTCCCAAATGCATAGCCAAAGTGCTCTTGTAATAGGAATGTATATCACCCCCATTCGAGACACAAATTTAGATGCTTGTAAGAGGCCACTACAGCTGAAGTGCAGGACTTCAGAGATCCGTTCCAAATATTTGAAAAAACAAGTAATAATAATACATTCTGTTATGGCACATGCATGGTTGGCAGATCTCAAGAGTATGACACACACACACACACCCTTGAAAAAGTATTCATACTCCTTGAAATTTTCCACATTTTGTCATGCTACAACCAAAAATGTTAATGTATTTTATGTGATAGACCAACACAAAGTGACACATAATTAAGTGAAAAGAAAATGAAAAATGGTTTTCAAAATTTTTTTTACAAATAAATAGCTGAAAACTGTGGCGTGAATTTGTTATCAGCTACCTTTACTCTGATATCCCTAAATAAAATCTAGTGAAACCAATTACCTTCAGAAGTCACCTAATTAGTAAATAGAGTCCACCTGTGTGTAATTTAATCTTAGTATAAATACAGCTGTTCTGTGAAGCCCTCAGAGGTTTCTTAGAGAACATTAGTGAACAAACAGGATCATGAAGGCCAAGGAACACACCAGACAGGTCAGGGATAAAGTTGTGGAGAAGTTTAAAGCAGGGATAGGGTATAAAAAGAAAAAATATCCAAAGCATTGAACATCTCACGGAGCACTGTTCAATCTATCATCTAAAAATGGAAATAGTGGCACAACTGCAAACCTACGAAGACATGGCCGTCCACATAAACTGACAGGCCGAGCAAGGACAGCATTAATCAGAGAAGCAGCCAAGAGGCTCTTGGTAACTCTGAAAGAGCTGCAGAGATCCACAGCTCAGGTGGGAGAATCTGGCCACAGGACAGCTATTAGTCGTGCACTCCACAAATCTGGCCTTTATGGAAGAATGGCAAGAAGAAAGCCATTGTTGAAAGAGAGCCATAAGAAGTCCCGTTTGCAGTTTGTGAGAAGCCATGTGGGGGACACAGAAAATATGTGGAAGAAGGTGCTCTGGTCAGATGAGACCAAAATGTAACTTTTTAAAAAAGCAAAATGCTATGTGTGGCGGAAAACTAACACTGCACATTACCCTGAACACACCATCCCCACCGTGAAACATGGTGGTGACAGCATCATGTTGTAGGGATGCTTTTCTTCAGCAGGGAGAGGGAAGCTGGTCAGAGTTGTTGGAAAGTTGGATGGAGCCAAATACAGGGCAATCTTAGAAGAAAACCTGTTAGAGTCTGCAAAATACTTGAGACTGGGTTGGAGGTTCGCCTTCCATCAGGACAACAACCCTAAGCGTACAGCCATAGCTACAAGGAAATTATTTAGATCAAAGCATATTCATGTGTTAGAATGGCCCAGTCAAAGTCCAGGCCTAAATCCAATTGAGAATCTGTTGCAAGACTTGAAAATTGCTATTCACAGATGCTCTCCATCCAATCTGACCGAGCTTGAGCTATTTTGCAAAGAAGAATGGGCAAAAAGTTCACTCTAGATGTGCAAAGCTGGTAGAGACATACCCAAAAAGACTTGCAGCTGTAATTTCAGCAAAAGGTGGTTCTACAAAGTATTAACTGAGGGGGGCTGAATACAAAAGCACACCACACTTTTCAGATATTTATTTGTAAAAACTTTGAAAACCATTTATTATTTTCCTTCCACTTCCACTTTGTGTATGTGTACACTATATTGCCAAAAGTATTGGGACACCCCTTCAAATCTTTGGATTCAGGTGTTCCAATCACCTCCATGGTCACAGGTGCATGCAGACTGCTTCTACAAACATTTGTGAAAGAATGGGTCGCTCTCAGGAGCTCAGTAAATTGAAGAGTGGTACCGTGATAGGTTGCCATCTGTGCAATAAGTCCATCCGTGAAATTTCCTTGCTACTAAATATTCCACGGTCAACTGTTAGTGGTATTATAACAAAGTGGAAGCAACTTGGAACAGCAGCAACTCGTAGTATTAGGCCTTGTAAAATGCCAGAGCGGCATCAGCACATGCTGAAGCGCACAGTGCGCAGAAGTCGCCAACTGCCTGCAAAGTCAATAGCTAAAGACCTCCAAACTTTGTGTGGCCTTCAGATTAGCAAAGCAACAGTGTGTAGAGAGCTTAATGGAAAGTGTTTCCATGGCTGAATAGCTACATCTAAGCCTTCTATCACCAAGCATTGGATGCAGTGGTGTAAACCACGCCACCACTAGAGCAGTGGAGACATGTTCTCTGGAGTGATGAACCATGCTTCTCTGGCGATCCAATGGATGTGTCTGGGTTTGGTGGTTGCCAGGAGAATAGTCGTTGTCTGACTGTATTGTGCCAAGTATAAAGTTTGGTGGAGGGGAAATTGTGGTGTGGGCTTGTTTTTCAGGGGTTGGGCTCGTCCCCTCAGTTCCAGTGACAGCATACCAAGACATTTTGGACAACTTCATGCTCCCAACTTTGTGGGAACAGTTTGGGGATGGCCCCTTCCTGTTTCAACATAACTGTGCACCAGTACACAAAGCAAAGTCCTAAAAGACATGGATGAGTGAGTTTGGGGTGGAGGAACTTGACTGGCCTGCACCTCAACACAATTAGAACACCTTTGGGATGGATTAGAGTGGAGCCAGGCCTTCTCATCCAACATCAGTGCCTGACCTCACAAATGTGCTTCTGGAGGAATGGTCAAACATTCCCATAGACACACTCCTAAACCTTGTGGACAGCCTTCCCAGAAGAGTTGGAGCTGTTATTAGCTGCAAAGGGTTTGCCAACTCAATACTGAACCCTACGGACTAAGAATGGGATACCATTAAAGGTCATATGAATGTAAAGGCAAACGTCCAAATACTTTTGGCAATATTGTGTGTGTGTGTATAGATATACAAGTATAAATTAGGTTCTTAGTAAAGTATACATTCTATTCATCCTCATCTTTATCCGTACAAATACAAGATTCCTATATGTCACTCATCAAGCTACTCCATGCAGTGCCAATAAAATCCATATCATCAAAATTAATCTATGAAAATTATTACACAATAACTCACCCAAACCAAAAGTATGAAAACAAGGGGGAGGAAGGGAAAAATTATGTTTTTTACCTGGCTAATAAGCACTTTCAAGTCAAAATGTATGCAGGATGGGATAAATTGTACTAAGGGGCACCACATCCCATGTTACTGAATACAAATTTATTAGAAAGACTTCAGGACTGTATAGGCCTCATGAATAAGTAGCTGGAAAAATATTTTGTTTGTTGCATGTATGTATGTTATGTTAATAATGTTGTCTATTTGTTTATTTTTTAAAATTCCCCCTAAGAGAGCAGGATTTCTTCCACAAGGATGTTGGAACTTCCCATGCAATATACACAGTGATATTAGTGACTGTTATTGAACATTAGTGCTATGGGATTTCTCCCTCCTGTTATATGGGTGTATATGCATATTTTAGTATGTGCTGCTGGTTTTTAGGATGGTTGTTCAATGCATTTCTATTTTATATTATATTGTTGTGATCTATGGGGTGCCTATAAATTCCTGAAGTCTTTCTAATAAATGTGTATTCAGTACCATGGGATGTAGCACCCCCTAGTACAATTTATGCAATCTTCATCCTGCATGAATTTTATATCATGGTTCTGGACCTGGATAGCACTCTGACTAGCACATAGTTACATAGTTAATATTGCTGAAAAAAGACAAACGTCCATCCAGTTCAACCAAAAAAAGAAAAAGTTATAATCCTATACCCACAGATGATCCAGAGGAAGGCAAAAAAACAGCAAAGTATGATCCAATTTGCTCCTGCCGGGGAAATAATTCCTTCCTGATTCCCCAAGAGGCAATCAGATATTCCCTGGACCAACTTTACCTATAAATGTTAGTATCCAGTATATTCTGTGTATCTAGGAAAGAATCCAGGTTTTTTTAAAGCAATCCACTGAGCTGGCCAGAACCAACTCTTGAGGGAGTCTATTCTACATTTGCACAGCTCTTACTGTGAAGAAACCTTTCTATATTTGGAGATTAAATCTCTTTTCCTCCAGACGTAAAGAGTGCCCCCATGTCTCCTGTGATGACCTTGTGATGACCTCAGGGTGAATAGCTCTACACCGAGTTCACTATATGAACCACTGATGTATTTATACATGTTGACCATATCTCCCTTAATCTCCTCCTTTCCTCATAGCTGAGCTCCTCCATGCCTCGTATGAGTTTAGTTGCCCTTCTCTCTGTACTTTCTCCAGTTTCCCAATGTTATTTTTGTGAATTGGTGCCCAAAACTGAACTGCATATTCTAGATGATGTCTTACTAATGATTTGTACAGGGGTAATATGATAGCTCTCTCTCTCTGGAGTCTATACCTCTTTTAATACAAGAGAGGATTTTGCTCGCTTTAGAAACCGCAGCTTGGCATTGCATGCCATTATTAAGCTTGTGATCTACCAGAACTCCCAGATTCCTCTCCACAATTGACTCACCCAGTTATACCCCCCCCAGTATGTATGATGCATGCATATTCTTAGCCCCTAAGTGCATAACCTTACATTTATCAACATTAAACCTCATTTGCCACATAGTTGCCCAATTACACAGTGCATTGAGGTTGGCTTGTAAGCTGGAGACATCTTGTGAGGACGTTATTCCACTGCACAGCTTGGTGTCATCTGCAAAGACTGAAATGGGATTTATAATCCCAGACCCTATATTTATAAATATATTAAAAAGTAAGGGTCCCAACACTGAACCTTGGGGTACACCACTAACAACCCTAGACCATTCAGAGTATGAATCATTAACCACTACTCTCTGAATTCAGTCTTCCAGACAGTTTTCTATCCATTTACAAACTGATTTTTCCAAGCCTGTAGACTTTACCTTACATGTGTGGGGAACTGTGTCAAATGCTTTTGCAAAATCCAAGTATACCACGTCCACCGCCACCACTCTAAGAGTTTGTTCACCTCCTCAAAAAAATAAATCAGATTTGTTTTGACAACTTCTGTCTTTCATGAATCCATGCTGTTGCTTAAAATATTTTTTTTCCAGCAAGAACTCATCTATCTGATCTTTTATTAAACTCTCCAGTATCTTCCCAACTATAGAAGTTAAACTAACAGGTCTATAATTACTTGGTAAAGATTTTTACCCCTTTTTAAATATTGGCACCATATTGGCCTTATGCCAATCCAGTGGTACTATGCCAGTCATTAAAGAGTCCCTAAAAATTTGAAACAATGGCTTTGAAATGACGGAGCTCAATTCTTTAAGGACCTGTGTGTGTATGCCATCCGGTCCAGATGCGTTATTCACCTTTATTCTGTCTAAATATTTCTAGATCATATCAGTTGTGAGCCAATGTGGATCATCTGGAGCTGTGTCAATACCATGCCCATTATGGGCAAGAGCTCCCGCATGCTTCTTTGTATACACAGAGCTGAAGAAGGTATTTAATAAATTTGCCTTCTCTTTGTCCCCAGTCACCCACTGTAGATTATTTTGTAAAGGGCCTACATGCTCAGACCGGACCTTTTTACTATTAATATAATTAAAGAATTTTTGGGGGTTTGTCCTGCTATCCTTTGCAATCTGTCATTTGTTTTCAATTTTTGCGGCCTTGATTTCCTTTTTACATATTCTGTTATATTCTTTATAATGTTTAAATGATGATAGTGTTCCTTCATTTTTATATTTAATAAAAGCTCTTTTCTCATTATTTATAGCTTTTTTAACTTTGGTCATAAGTCACATTGGTTTGCTTATTAGCCTTTTTTTTGCAGTGTGTTCACATACAGTCTTTTTGAAGAACTCACATTTCTGTGTTGTGTTCATCAATGCCAATATTCCCTCCTAGTCTAAGTCTTGGAGAGCAGCTCTCAGCCTTGGAAAATTAGCTTTCTTAAAGTTTAGTGGTTTTATTTTTCCCGTATGTGCTTGTTGTTTACAGCTAACAATAAATTAAATCATGTACACAGGGGTCTGGAAAGTGCCACAATGCAGAGCCCAATGCCCAAACATCACATTTCAAACTAACCTTCAAACCTTCCAGGTCAGTTGGATGCAGATACAGCCTTGAAAGCTGTTGTTGAAGATACGCCAACTCAGATAGCATCTGTGTAAAGACTAGCTCAAGCAACATATTTGAAGTTTTAATTTAACTGAAGTCGCCATATAAAAAATGTCTAGGGTGCACCAATTTTTTTTATTAATGAGAAAAAAAAATAGGAATAAAGAAGCCAGAAAAAATTTAGTTAGACTTATTTTCAGCTGAGCTGAAGAAAAGGTTTCCAGCCTCCTTGGACACTAGCAAAAACTAAAGCATGACGGTTATAGATGGGATTATATAGACGCTAGCTTAACTTTTTTACCAGTGACCCAAACTCCTGTAGGTAGCAATACAGCTTAACTTTTTAAATATTCCTAATTTCTGTGTCGCTCAATGGACGATAAAGAAAAAGACTTTTGGGTTAGGTGAAGGGGGGGGGAGACAAAACATTCATAAAAAGTAAAACAATTTGGTAAATTACCCCATTCTCACTTTATACATTTTGTCAGTGGCCCTTATCTTTTCGCTACACAAGCTCCAAGACACTAACAATGGCAGCTCTGAGCCCCCCCCCTTTATAGAGAGGGGGCTGGCTTATCCAAAAGAAATCCAATTGAGGAACCTAATGACTATGGTTCAAAGACCTTGGACAGCATATTGTGTGTATCAAAATTTTACGTATATATATTTTGGCAAAAGAGCACTGTTACTGCAAATTTCAATAGGATTTGCCACGAAGTCACAGCAAATCACAACCTCATGAACCACCAACCATGACAACAATGCTCATTTCTTGTCCCCTTGTAACAGGCTGCCAGAAGGATAAAACATGAGGTGAAATCTCCCCAAAAAGGCCATGGACAGTATTAAAAATTGATAGTATTTACACTTTCCAATTCTATCCAAAACTGAAAAAAAGGTTTTGGCTGGAGTAGGGCTTTAAAGTGGAAATTTGGCTATACACCTAAACTAGCTTTAAAACTTTCCCCTCCCACTCCTAACACCTGTGCTAACTAACCAGTGTAATAAAAAAATGTTTATGCTTACCTATTTTCAGCATGCTTGGTTTTGGTAACATGATCCCCTGTATCTGCAAGCAGTGGCTACAGGGGAGAGGAGCGTGCTCCAACAATGGCCAGTAAAGCATGGAGCATTGATGTCACCCATATGCTTCAAAGCCTCCATCCATTGTCAGCACTCCCTCTTCTCCCCTGCAGCTGCTCTGGCTGACACGGGGTAGACGGATCACATGAGTGGACTGGAGAGGCCTAAAAATAGATAAGTATATATATCATTCTTA